AAAGTGGAGACCAAAGTGCCGTTGAAGCCTTATGTTCCACTCGGAACCCAAAAGAACAATAATAATAAACATACGACTCATTCGTATTGAATGAATCAAAGACCAGGAAGGCAAGACAAGCTTTCATTACTCTCAAGTCTGCGTGGATGTCAACAGCACTCAGCATCAAAAATCAGATCAGATCCGGATTTTCAACTCCAATGTGAAGTCAGTGCTACTTACTTTGAGGATCAGAGACTTGGCGCGTCATAAAGAGCACCTCAAACAGACTACAGACACTTATCAACAGTTGTCTTCGCTCAGTACTGAAGATCAAATGGCCAGAAAAGATCAGTAGTTGAGAGGGATCTGTGGCAACCAACCAACTAGGAACCGATTGTGCAAGAAATATGCAGGAAGAAATGAAGGTGGATTGGTCACACTCTGAGTAAACCATCACAGGTTAGCCCATCACTCGAGTGAAACTCGAATAGGAAGCGGCGAGTTGTTTGTCAGTGCGAGGGTAACACGGAGGAAGTGATGTGAAAAGGAGATGAAAGCATGCGGGTAGACGTGGAGTCAGGTGAAAACGTTAGCAGAGAACCGAACGCAATAGAGACGCGCGGCTGAAACCCTATATTCTTCTAAGAATTAAAGGAAATAATCATAATAATAAATCGTGTTGAATTAGGCTGATGAAATTAGCATCTTACATAATCAATAAGATAACACAACAAGACACTAAATCAAATAGCTACTGTTTATAAATCCCTTCACATTTTAGTCACTGCTATCACGTTGTTAGCCTTAATATTTACAACTTCACAAATTATGAATCATACTAGAGAAGAAGAAGAAGAAGAAGTAATGACGACTGTGTTAGGTTGTCTCCATTCCGTTAGTTGAATGGTTAAAAGTCAAATTAAAACAAACAAACAGAAGCAAACCACAACCAACCACCACCACCACCACCACCGACAACGACAATAACAACAACAGTGAATAAATGTAAATCGCCAGTTCATCTTCATAAAGGATACAGTCATACATATAACGACCAACACACTCACACACACACACACACAAAACTCTGTATAAACAAAGTGATTATGTGTAAAGTTAAACAAAGATGTTACAAAATAAATGTGTTACAACTCTGTTTAGGTGTAAATTAGGCATATTATAATATGCATACATAAATATGTAACAGAATCAATACACGTGAGAAGTGTGATATATGCATATACATATATGTGCAAAAAGAAAACACAAGTGTTAATAAATCACAATTTGTGTATAACTCATTGATTCGTTGTAGACAGGTAAGAGAGAGCAGACAAGCAGTAGAAGAAGCAGTTAGTAAAATAAAAAAAACCTTAGAGACAGAGAGAGAGAGAGAGGAAAAGAGGGGTTCACAGTAAACAAAAGGGTCGCACACTTGAAAATCACGAATTATTAGAAGTTCAAATTCATGGGTTGGTTGGTCATTATTGAATCAGGTCTATGAGCTAGCCTTGTAACCAACCAGAAGGTCATAGGTTCGAATCCTTGGCTGGTGATGAGTCCTGAACTAGGATGAAACAAATGGTTGACCAGTTCGCCTCACTGGTTTTCAAAGGTTCTCTTCTGACTCATCTGTCTATCCGGGATTTAACTTGAAACCAACTAAATCCGGTATAGGCGCGTTGAGTTATTCCGATTGCACATGTGCGATGTTGAGTTGATAGACAAAGCTTCCGTGGTTAACCTCTCTCTGTGTATCTGTCTCCACATAACTCCTCTAATACTTTTTAATACTCTCACCCTGTTCAACTTAGCAGAGTCAATGATTACAGGTATAGTTAAGTCTTTATGTTTCAATAATCTAATTGACCCCGATCCACACCTAGTTTGATGGCCTATGTAATTGACCTCATTCATAGTTATTACATGGTGAATTTGGTAAATTATATTATTATTGTTCTTAATCGAACTTATCGGGTCCTTGAGTCAACAAAGTTTTTCTCTGAGAGAGAGAGAGAGTTGTTTAGTTGGTTGGTTTAAATACCAGACTAATTCTAGCCTCATTGAGAATGTCACGTACGTTGTATGACGTTCCTTCTCTGTGAGGAATCATCACAAATCTTTGAATTGAATATTAATTTTCGTTATTTCCGTCATTTTCATTACTAATCTTAATTTTTCCACGGTTCTTTATATATTTCTGAATAAATTCTGGTGGTTAGTGTGTAACACCTTCTTTATATGTTTGATTTCGTTATTTAAATCTTCTGGCTTACTAGTTAGGCTCCTGGGCCGATTATATACACACGATTTCACTTTTTCAGTGAAGACTGTCAAATGACATCGCGCGCCAGGCCATTGCTCAAGTGGAATCTAAATGGCAAGCGACAAATGGCTCGTCAGTGCAAGGATGACATAGAAGAGATCGTATGGCGAAGAGGAGATGAGAAATTTTGGGCGATCGTGGACTCGCATCCAGATAGGCCGAGTCCCAAATAGGATGAAAGGTGTATTCTGGACTCCACTGTTGGTCGCCAAATTCCTTCACGTAAAATAACGTTCTTTCCGTTTAAGTAGTATTTAGAAAGATAAATAAAGAAAAGGGGGAGGGGAGGAGAACCACTCGTAGACAGAAAACTAGAGGCCGAAATAATGGTGCATATATATAAGAAAAGAAGCAGCGAAAGAAGCGAAAGGCATGAAATGCAATAGTTATCACAAACAAAAGTCTGTTAGAGCTAATTTAAAGAAAGCAGAATAGCAATCAGAGCTCATATACATACATACATACATATGTATGCACACAAACATACAGAAAGATAGACAGACAGACACATCCATTCACCATCTGTAAGTGTATATATCATAGAAGGAACAACAAAAGTGTGATAGTATACAGAGCGGAAAAAAATCCTGATCGCTGGGTTGAAACAAAACAAAGGAAAAACAACAGTACCCGACTAACTCACCCCGACTTAAAACGACCGCATCGAAAACTTTTGTAGACAGGTAGGCAGAAAATAATTTATGATTATATGATGAATAATAATTACAATAATACTATGATGTGAAATAACTATGTTCTAAATGATCATTTATCGATAACTAACCCATCGATAATATAACAGGTGAGAAAGTAGAGTTAGCAAGAACACAATTGGAATGAACAGTTTCTTGGTAATCCACTTTCATGACTTACCATCCAAATGAGTTATAATTCTCAGAAGACACTAAGCACAGCTAAGATACCAAGACTTTGTTTAGACAGAAATGTACACCGTATGGTATTTAGACGATGTTCATCCAGTGAATACATCAAACAGACATGCGGAATATTTGCGAAGCTTTCAACAGTGTTCACTTTTAGGGACTTGATCTATTTCAAGGTTGAACATAGATTGATATGCGTTAGAGCACTGTTGATAACCAGCACTGCACAGTACTGGATTACCACCAGCTGTATCATCCTAGTATGAGACTCATTAGCAGTACAGGGGGCGAACCTATGACCTTCTGGTTAAAAGGCAACCTCGTAGACGACTCAGCTACTGGGATTTGACACATTGACCAGCTGATGAAATCTAACTTTTATGAGTTTTTCTTGCAACAAGAAGATCCTGGAATATATGATACAGATTCCCAACTTGTTGCGTAATGTTTTTTTGTCCACTAATCTTATTACTTCTACACCCCTCCGCTTCCTAAGATTTATGCAACCCATGAAGCATTTTATAAATTGCATAAAGTAACTTTTCGCTAGATTTTAATCACAACTATTTCATAGCAATCCACATTACTTTACAGATTATATATATACGATTGTACAGGTTGATGACGTATTTGTCGAGACTTTGCTTTTTGCGGAATCACTTATTTTCATTTCCTACATGCAATGAAGACAACCAACCAAGAAAAACAAAATCCAGCGCTAATCACCATCAACGGAAGAAATTTTGAAAGAGGTTACTTCATTCACTTATCTAGACTGCATCGTTTTCAACTACAGGCAGTCGGAGTAGATGAAGATGTCAAATGTAGGCAGCCAACCAGAATCGGAAAGACTAGCTACTCCTTCATCAACCTGAAACCAGACTGGAAATCTCCTCCACTCCACCTTCGAATAAACAATAAGATTCGGATTTTCAACACAAATATGAATTCAGTCAGTTCTTTCATACAGTTCAGAAACCTGGTTAACAAGTCACGAAAAGCGTTCCCAGTGGCCTTTGATAAAAGGCTGCCAACTTCAGTGGATGCATATTGAAGATCAAATTGTTGGCTGACCAAAAAGATTAGGCAACAAGAAACTCCGGGAACAAACTAAATAGGAATCTATTGTTCAACAAATATGTAAAAGAAAATGGAGATGGGTCGGACACACGCTGAGGAGACCGTCGAATGACATCGCGGGTAGTGCAGGCCATCACTCAAGTGGAACCCCAGTGGAAAACAACAAGTAGGTTGTACGAGGAGGAGATGGGATATCACGAACAACTGTGAGATAAAGAAGATAGCAGAAAATAGAGCACAGTTGAGATGTTGAGGTCCTATGTTTTACTTGGAACCTAACTTTAAAAATGTAGCACCTGACTACTCGCTAGTAGTCTGTCTTTTTAATGTAAAAAAATGAACCAAAAGGAACGTCAATTATCGTCTACACAACTGAGAGAAACAAAGAAACAAGTACTACTTAGAATTAAAGCATTATACAAGTGCATGTTTAGTGACTTCTTGACAACAGACATTAGCCTAGCAGCAAAATAACAGATTTATTTTAGAACCGGCACCAGTCAGTCTTCTCATGAAGTGAGAAATATTATAAAAAGAGGGTGAGGTTTATACTTCAGGCAAAGAACAAACGTAAAGGTCGGGAAATGAAAATCCAGTATACCGTGAGTAACCATCTTATATGCACAATTTTATATCCTTAGATAGATTTAAATTCCCCCTCCCACCCGAAAAAAACAAACATTTAGACACCCAATACCATAATATGTCAGTATATGAAGACTACTCACCTTCGAGCTATTCTAGTCGTTAAACTACGGAAAAATCTTCCCGACCGAGATTTCATAGAAGCACTCTTCTGAGCTACTACTGCAGATGTTGATGTCTCTAAGGTGACTGACGAAGAATCAGAAGAATTTTTCACCTCACCCTGATTTGTATTCACACTTGTTACCGTACTCTTTGGTGATGACTGTCTACATTCTCTAGACATTAAACTACTACTATTGGTGGTATTATTACTACTATTAGTAGTCGCATTAGTCGCAGTAGACGTAGTATTATTCGGTCGATGACGTACTGACCATTTCATAAGCGAATCTCTTGTAGTTGCGGCTGGCGTATTCGTTGGTAATTTGAAGACTGGAGATTTTGGACACGACTTATCATTATTATTATTACTACTAATATCGTCATTATCATTAGTTGTTGGTGTGTCAAGTGCCTTGAAGATTGAATCAGGCATGCCAATCTGCTGATGCTTAGTTGATTTATTGAAGTTCTGTTGTTGCGGCTGTTGTTGTTGCTGCATAACTTTGGCTGAATCCATAGTACCAGATGATGAGGCACCGAGTGTTGAAGAAGGACTATCACTGAATGTAGAGGATGTCGACTGATCTGAGATATTTTTAGGCTTGTTTTTACTCCAGTTATCTGTAGAACGATTAGGATCATTACGATGAAATCTTTGCTGATCATTAGGATCTAAGACATCAATAATATCATGACTATTATTACTATTGTTATTGTTAGTACTAATTACAGGACCATTGTTGTTATTGTTATAATTCGTTGAAATAGGCTTTGAATTATTACACGATAAGGTATTATCTTTAGGACGTTTTCGATGAGGAAGTGTTCTAAACAATGAGAGAGAGAGAGAAAAATAAAAAGAGATATCAGAAAATAAATAAATAAACGAACAAACAAAACAATTAGTATTATAATACAAAAAAAAAGAAAATATTAAGCATAAAAATAACTCATTTACTAACTTATACATAACAACAATAACAAAATTAACAACAACAACAATACTAGCAACAACATTAAACAATAACGATGAAAAATCAGTTTTAAGAGTTGAGTAGGTAAGGGTGGAGGGGGGAGGGGTGCATTTTCTATGAAATTAGTTAAAGTGATTATTAGACAACACAAAAGTGGATACCATGAACTCTAGGTGAGTATGTTTCATATATATATATATATATATATATATATATATATATATATATATATATAATTAAACAGAGTTTCATTATAGGGTTAATAATAGTGGACAATAATGAATGATAATATCTATCAAAACTTATCGACAGAGAAAAACATGAAGCAGAAGCGCATCTGTCACTAGGTATCACAACTGCAAACTCTCTTCAAGAGTCTGGAATCAAAAAACGTAACATAAAAGCAGAAATTCTTAGTAACCGTAATTCTATTAAGTGACTGACTGAAGAAGACATTTCCAACAGCCACCTTACACGCATCACATTCTCCAGTAGACAATTAATCCAGTCTAAAGATTCTTAAAGATAAGATATCGCTTTTGGCCACATCAGTGGTGTGTATTTATCAGTTTACTTGTTCTTCGTGTGGAGCAAAGTATATCGGCGGTATGCAGTGTCAAGTTTGTAAAGGTCCAGTTTGACTAGCCAGTCAGAGGAGAAAAGAAGAATACCTTGACAACTGTGGATATCGAGTATCCATGCATGAATCCTTCACAGTCCTACACAGATTTCCTCAATATCGTCTGAAAGGATTTCGAATACACCATCTGTACATAAATAAATCATTGGTTATTCGGGACGTGAAACCAGACCTCTGCATTCAAAAGTATCTCATACATTTCCTTACCCCTACCATGGCCAGACTGACGTTTTTATTAGAATTATGTCTCCATTTATTATGTAAGTTTATTGTTAATATTATTCTCATCATCATTACTTTATTATCACTCTATTACTGTTTATTTATAACATTAATAACATAGTTCTTATCCACTCTATACAATTATATTGATTAGTCATTATCTCACACTTATTGCGTCATACCAACTTCTATCCTCTTTTTTCTAATTTCCAACTAGTCACCCCTTCTAGAATGATATGACAATAAACTCAAAATAATTATCAAATATGTCTGGATGAAAAACAGACACACAACAACTATGAAAAGATTGATACAATAATCAAAACAAGTGATTCAGTGAAGAAACTCTTTTCAACAACGAATTTATCATCAAGCTGTACAGTCGTATATACATGGTTTTTAATAAGTTATATCCGGTGAGGGAATTGAATCATAGGTGTGAATGCATAAAATAATAATAATAATAATAATATGAAGTTCAATTAAAACTAAAATGTTTGTGATTATAATCATAGTTAAATGTCAAGTGGCAAAGCAGATTAATGTCATATATAGAATAATTCATAGGATGGATAGAACTTGAAAAAGGTTGTGCAATTATAGGATTAGTAGACTAATCGAATAAAATAAAAACGTTACGTAATATTGTGTGAAATTTGATAACATAGAATTTAATGTTGCAAAACAGAATTCATTTAGAATGACAAGTGGAACAAGTGAAATAATACCGGGGACATTTCAAAGTGAGAATAGTAATAAGGGAGGGAATCCAAATTGAATATACAAAATGAAAAATGAAAAATTGGTAGAGCCAAAATATGATTGGGGATTACCATACTTTAGTATAGAGGGATTAAGACCATGAAAGTTGGAGGGTTGAACGAACTCTTTCTGTACACAGAGATCTGACTTTTCTGTTTCAATAGCCAAAGATGGCTTCAGCAATACAGATGAGTCGGGTACGTAAGGATTTGGGTAAACTACTCTTTGCCTTGTAGATGACTTTAAAAAAGGCGGAGGCTATACAGATAGGGTGATCATTATCGACCAGATGTTCACTGATCGTGCTTCTTATTGCTCCACCTCTTCGTAACCATGCATTCACACCTATGATTCAATTCCCTCACCGGATATAACTTATTAAAAACCATATATATACGACTGTACAGCTTGATGATAAATTCGTTGAAAAGAGTCTCGTCGCTGAATCACTTGTTTTCATTTTCATACAATAATGACGTTATCCCTTACTTGGACACAGTCGTATAAAGAAGAAGACGAAGAAGAACAGATGAATGAATAAGAATAATATATGTATAATATAACGACAGTTCTGCTGAGGATAGGATAGAATCAGCGCATACACATTTACATCAACCAAGTGAACATTGAGCCAATTCGATTGACATCATCAATGAGGTGACAAAAGTTCATCAAAACAAGGTGTAACACTTACTTATATCTAACCAATTGAAAAACTGCTGCCTAATTCAACCGATTGATCACAGGTTCGAGTCCTGCTCCACCTACTTCAGACAGGGTAGCAGCATTATATCATCACACCTTACACGACAAATGTAGCTCTAAACCGGCTAGTTGGTCTAGTGGATAACGCTTTGATATTTGAACCTACGGCTACTGGGTTCTAGCCTCAGTGGGAACACAATCACTCACTATACAATGCACGTACCTCCAGCTGACGAGCCAACTACACAAACGACGAAATGCGCATCTGTTATGACTGGAACTGGTACTACGACCTAGGTGATTATGAGTGAATACTAACTTAATGCGCTGGCTAATCTATCCTAATCGCACGTCTACAACAACAATGATAATAATAACACCGCCGGCGCTCAAAGACCAAAGAAAAGACTGGACGTCGATAAGAGAGCTTTCACTGTGTCAAACAATAGTCAAAATGCTGGACAGAAACTCTGTATATATACATACAGTTGGAATGACCTTGAAGATGTAGTAATTTCAGTGACGCATTAAAAGTATCAACAGCCAATAGGAATCCGGCAATCGAGAAAGAGAGAGAGAGAGGAAAACAAAGAGCTCACGCCAGTGCGCGACAACTCCTTAAATGGCAAAACTGAGTGTAGATAACATCATTCTGGATTCCACTACTCGTTAGTCACCACCATCCACCAATTTAAGACAAATCTAGATGAGTAATAACTATTATTATTATTGTTATTACTATTAATAAAAACCATTTCAAAAAGAGTTAGAAATTTTATAGGCCAATGTAGTTGGTGAACAAATCCTCCCAATTATTAGCAGAGAAAGGTGTTGCTGCGGGTGTTGAGTAGGCACACAAAAAGAAAACAACACAATAAGAGAGATGAGTGGACCGAAAGACGATGATATATTATATTTTTTTCAAGCCCAATTTTTTCGATCCACATGATGATGAGTCACTACTACTCACTGGATAAATCAGTCAGTTGAGCATAAGTAAAGAATTTTCATAATTAACTGACAATCTATATGACTTCAATATATAAGCGGTAGAGATATGGCTAATTGGCTCAAGCATTCGACTTGTAGTCAATAGTATTTATTGGCCGAGGCTAAATCAAGCTTCACCTATTTCACCTCCTGCCTTTGGCACAATGTATGCCTCATAGCCCGATATATGTGTAAGGTCTGGACAGATGCTTCGTCCTAGTTTCGGCAGTACTAACCCAACACCAGGGTTCAAACCCAGGAGCTTCCGGTTATAAGGCAAGCTGGTGGACCATTCAACCATTGAGTCAGGTCTAAGTTGCGCCTGTAGCCGGGGATAGAACTACGGACCACATGACGGAGGCATGGTTGGTTGACGAACGCTATTATTTTCACCACACTGAAACGTGTTCAAATGATCAATCATTGTCTGTTGATACACTAGCAAGATTTAGGAAATACTTCAGTGATGATTCCTTCTAGAAATACACAGACGCACACACACAAACAAACATTCAGTGACAAATATAGCTAACCACATAAATATATTTAGCGATAGACAGCATCGAAATACCTTAAGTTACTAGGGTGATAATATCATCACATTTTGTAATATAGTGTTTAGCAATCGAGTAGAGAGTTAGTTTTTGGGAGAGGATGAATATTTTTTTATATTAAAAACAAACAAAAAGTCAACAAAAAGTGACAATCAGTTTAGATCTACTTCTATTGATCCGATTGATAATGATATAATAGACTAAACTAGTAAATGATTTTTACTATTATAGATCACTCACTGCACTGTCAGTAGAATTCTGTTTTCACAGAAAACTATCGCATAGTTCTACTCATTCTTACTCAATTGAGCGCATATTCACACACACACAGACACGTACAGACAGACAATGTAGTTATCAAATATGTTAATGAAAGAAAACCTTGGAATGTGAAGAGATCCTTTTCAAAAGCGGTAAACTTCACTAACAATTCTAAAGAAAAATGAAGGTTGTTACCATTATTGTTATTATTATTATTATTATTCTTAGTGGCATTACACCGACCAATCAATAAAATCCATTAGTGTAACACACACAATGAATGCGTAGGCGTGTCTGATTTTATTAGGAATCGTCCACCAATAGTGAACAAGTATCATGATGATACTGTTATTTTTTTGAGAAATCAATAAAATAAATTAACCGTTATAAGTAGAAAAGAAAAGAAAATATCAACAAACATCCCAACTTGACCTAGACTAATTGCCAAAATAACTAACTAACAAACAACCAAACGCATAAACACATAATTGTCTAGATTGCATATTATTGAAACTTAAATTTATTAACGTATACGTTAACAAAGCCCGGTTAGTTAATTTAATATATTGGCAATCTCAGTGACTAAAATGACCATAATAATAATAATAATAATAATAATAATAATAATAATAATATAGATGTAAGTAAACGCGTTAGAAGCAGATTAAAACAAACAGCTTATAAACACTACAAGTTGAAACAATTCAACACTTTAAGAA